CCTGAAATCTCAGGTACAGACAAAACAACTGCAGTCTGCACTATCGTCAGATCAACTCTGCAAAGTCAAAGTGTAAAACCCGACCAGACCAGAGTAGGGATTTGGCTTCCAGATGCACAGATGCTCGCTACCTTCCCTATGCAGTACCAACTGCAAGGCCTCAGCTCGCAGTGTGTGTTCACATGGGTGGGTGACACTCGATCATAGTCTGCACAGACTGGGTTATTCATTTAACAGGAAGCACAGTTAATATATTTTCAAGGCACATTCCATCACACTGAGCCTAGTTTGGAACAGGACAGAGAGCGTGAAATAGCAGAGCGCTCACACCCACACACAACCTCAGAGACAAATAAAAGTGGCTGATTTAGTGCAGCAAAGTGCCACCGAGACTACATCAATCCGAATAAGTAACACAGCTAGAGTTACACGCTGAGCACAAATATTTTACGATGGTGATGGATCTTTATTGTGCTCTTGTGCAATACTGACTACACATCAAGAGCTCATTAACAGTGACTTTAGGTCTATTTTTGCACAGGGTATAACAGAATCCTTAACAAAGATTAGGAAAGAAAAATCACTTTAAATTCTGAATTTAGGTTACCAGCACTTCTGATCTTCGATGGGTGGTGTTGGCAGCCTTAGAGCTTTAACTTTGAAGTTTCAGCAGACTGGTGCAGCAAGTTAAAGGGTAACTGTGCATGAAGGTCTGCATTGTGATTTGGGTCATTGTTCCAGCTGCTAAAGCTCTTCTAAAGCGTCTTTTTTTTATTACTGCTGCACTCTTTCCCTGCTGCGAGTCCTTGTGCAAGGATTATAGTATGAAAACACAAGTGACCTCAGTGCGTCTCGAGAAAGTGGAGGGGAAAAGTGTGGGCTGTCATTAACTATGCTCTTGATGGCTTCTGAAGGAGCGGTAATTGAAATGTAATATCTCTCTGTGCTGCAGGAGGGAAATCATGCTACTGTGACTGACTTCCATCTGGCAGTCAGACCAATGAATAACCACAATAAATACCTACTCGTTAGTGGCAGAGAAAGTAAAGACTGAGAAGTATCTACTATCCAGATGATAAAGGAGTATGCTTAAGTACACATTTTTTAATAAGAGTGTTATAAAATTCTGGATGCTAAACAGTTTTTCTAACAGCAACTGTGCTTAATGATTTAGAAGGGCATAAATGATATGGTGTTTAAAATACATTTCAATCAGCCAACACAATGCGGCCACTAACTGACCTGAGCAACTTCAATGGCCTAATGGCAGGACTGGCGTACTACATTGTTAGTGGCTGAGTCAGTGGTTATTAACTTCTGTTAATAATTGCTATTTGTGTGATGATGTTCGTGTAAGGTTTCATCCAGACTGGCATATACAGGATATGTCTTCTTGTGAGCCTTGGCAGGAATACTAACAAGTCATGAACATTTTTAAACATATTTGTACACTGGTGTGATGGACGTAAATCATTTTAACTACTTTATAGTACTGATATTTCTTCTTTGCTTAGAGCAAGAACATCCAGCATCCCATAACATCCAGTGGTCTCTAACATTATCTGGACAACAGTAAATCTGTGTATTCCTCTCTGACTCTCTTGCACAGAGTAACTTTTATCTTATTTCTTTCTCCCATCACGCCCAATTGCAATAGATGGCTTCCTCTTCTGCTGGACATTTGTTGATGTTAAAAGGGAGTTTTTCCTTCCCACTGTCACGTCCTTGTAACACATGGTGGAGGCTGTGTCATCACACAGAGTAAAACAGAAACTCCTTTAAGAAGTACCACGATGTTCAAGTTCTTGTTCATAGGGGATGGTCTGATTGTTGGGGGGTTTTCTCCATATCATTCTAGGGTCTTTACCCTTAAAGTGACTGTTGATGCAATTCGGCACTATATAAATAAAACTGAATTAATTTGAATTTAATATATATAAGTATATATACTCCACCCTTTTCTCAGCCGGAAAAGGGTGGAGTGCCCACTCCGGGTCGGGGATGAGTTCCTGCCCCAAGTGGAGGAGTTCAAGTATCTTGGGGTCTTGTTCGCGAGTGATGGGAGAAGGGAGCCGGAGATCGACAGACGGATTGGGGCTGCGGCTGCAGTAATGCGGACGCTGCACCGGTCAGTCGTGGTGAAGAGGGAGCTGAGTGTAAAAGCGAAGCTCTCAATTTACCGGTCGATCTACGTCCCTACCCTCACCTATGGCCACGAGCTGTGGGTAGTGACCGAAAGAACGAGATCGCGGATACAAGCGGCGGAAATGAGCTTCCTCCGAAGGGTGGCTGGCCTCTCCCTTAGAGATAGGGTGAGAAGTTCGGCCATCCGGGAGGGGCTCAGAGTAGAGCAGCTGCTGCTCCACATCTAAAGGAGCCAGCTGAGGTGGTTCGGGCATCTGGCAAGGATGCCCCCTGGGCGCCTCCTGGGCGAGGTGTTCCAGGCATGTCCCACCGGGAGGAGGCCCCGGGGCAGACCCAGGACACGCTGGAGAGATTATATCTCTCGGCTGGCCTGGGAACGCCTTGGTGTTCCTCCGCATACGCTAGAGGAGGTGGCTGGGGAGAGGGAGGTCTGGACCTCTTTGCTTAGGCTGCTACCCCCGCGACCCGACCTCGGATAAGCGGATGAAGATGGATGGATGGATGGATGGATGAATATATATAGAAACAGAAATGCTAACTTAAAGGATATAGAGCACATTATCACATCAGCTAAACTGTTTCCTCCCTGCTTCTCTTCCTCTTTCCCCATTTTTCCAAAGCACTGAGGACGTTAGCGAAGTGTGGATAGGAGGACAGGCAGGAAACCTGACTGCAGTTCATCACCGTTATACAGGAAGGACTGCTGGAAAAAGGGAAAAATCTGCAAACCAGGCAAACATTTAATAGGTTTGTATCACTTCAAGGCTCTGAATTAATTTGTTCCAAATTAAATGCATTCTTACTGTGAGTAGAAGTGAAAGATTTCTGTGCTCAAACACTCACTCATGAATGTTTCATGTGTAAAAAATTGTAAAATAATTAATAAAAAAACAACATTTTAAGGCATTTAGTATAATGACATTAGAACTATGCTTTCAGGTATGACAGCATTGCTTGGCCTAATGAGCTCACATTTCAATGTGAAGCTACAGCTCTTTCAGAAGTAATCCTATAAAAAAAAACCTGAAAGAGATTTTACTGCTGACACTTTTCTGGAGCAACACAGGAAATAAAAATGTGAAATAATCTGAGTTGAAACAAGAACCCTTCTTCTTTTCCCTGCAGCGCTGTCACTGAAATGTGCAAAGACAACTGGCAGAAGGCAGCTCGGGGCCACATAACTGCCACAGCAGGCGGCTGGGCTCTCCCCCTTTGCTCCTGAAAGTTATCCTCCCACCTCTTTTAATCCACCCCTCACTCCACTTTGGCCCTAATCCTCTCATTCCTCCCTGTCTTTATCTTCCTCCTGTTTAACTCCCTCTCTCGGCCTCCCCTCTTCCTCCATCCCTCCTTCGTCTCTAAGAATCCGAACGCTCCAGTGAAGCGTGTTGAGAATGAAGACTTGACAAATATGGTTAAAAGGAATCAAAGGAGCATAACTCAGGCAGCTTAAAGTTATATTTTCCATGCTTAAACGTAGTACTGTGCACAAGAAATAGGAAATGCACAGCGACATCTGCCTCAACACAATGAAGATTCCCTGGAAATGAAGGAAAACGAAACCTTGTGAAATCCTGCTGAGCGGATTGTTATTGACATCAGTTAGAAGCAAAAAAAAGTAGGAGAAGATAAAAAACAGTCCAACTCTGCTGTTTGGATAACCAAAAATGTCAAGCTGGTCCAGTAGTGGAAGAGCAGCGAGGAGCTTCCTGCAGCTCAAGGAGCTCTGGAGGAATGGCATGGAATAAGTTTATGTGTGAGCTTGTGTCTTCATGTGGGTACAAGTTTGTATGTCTTCTTGCTCTTGTGTGCGTGTGTGTCTATTTGTGACACGTAATGCAGCAGGACCACACAGTCCTTGTGGTATGCGGGATTTCCAGGTTCAAAATAGGCTCCTGCTGTGGGAGGAGGGCAGGAACAAACAGGAGAGAGGGGGAGAAGGGAAGGAGAAGTGTAATGAGGACAACAAAATACACGACTCCAGTTTTCATCTTCTTGTCAACATTGTTACAGTTGAGCTAACCGCTTGTCAACAAGGGGAAGTTTCTGTGGTTTACTAACATGACAGCTGTCATGGTGTCACAGATGGAAAGTGGCCAGATCTATTTAATTGGCATGTTGGGAGGGAAAGAAGCACTACTGCATTGCAAACAGCTAAAGAGAAAAGTCAAACTCCTAATGGATGAAAACATTTCTTCACTCTGATCAAAGCGAGGAACCGGAACACCTCAGAAGATGCACACATTTTTTTGCCTTTTAGCACTAACAGGTCTCCAGCTGACAGATTCCATAATGCTATTATAACTATTTAGTGGGTTTTACAAGAAACGTTAAACCTGTTCAGGCTGTATGCAAGCGTAAAATAGGTGGAGTGACCCTTTAAAGTAAAAGCCTTGACGTTATGGATGCGCAAGAGGCAGAAATGTGATTCTGTACAACGCAGCTTACTTTTGCCCCATTATTTTCACGCAGACACACACACACACACACCTTTTTATCATTGTTCCTAATCCTGTTTAAAATAATCGTTCGGTCTGCTAAAACCTGTGATCCTCAGCAGTGAAAGGTCTGACAGCGAGAGGGAAAGTTTTCTGAGGCGCTCTGTGGGTACGCTTCAGGCTGCACGGGCAGCAGAGCTGAGAAGCGTCTCAGCCCGCTCTGAGTCACCTGTTACACCTCGCTGTTCGCGGCTCTGCGGAGAGCCACGCGAACAGCGCCAGAGAGAAAACGTTCCCCCGGCCCCCTTCAGCTCCAGTTCAGTTAAGTTCGCGTTAAATACGTTATATAGTGACACCAGAGCGCGTGACAGCGAACAAGCAGAAAGTTTGTTAAAGTTTGGTGTTTGTGTAACTCACCGGCAGCCCCGGGCTCCAGCAGCACAGATATGAGAAAGGCTGATACAACTCCGCGGAAAGTTAGAGAGCAGCGCCGTGCCTTCATGATTCTGTGTCCCCCTGCCCGAGATTCTCAGTCACACGAACCGCGGAGTACGAGAGAGTCCAGGGAGTTGACTTTGTGCGTCCGCTACACTGTGCGCTCCACTCCGCTCAGCAGCTGGAGAGTCACTGCTGAACCATCCACACACACACACACACACTCTCTCACACCGTTTATAAGCAAGCACACTCACTTTGCTCTGACAGGAAACCGGAGGAGGCAGGAGGGGCTCTCCTCCTCTCGTGCTGCTCTCACTCTACGCTGTGGTGTGTGTGTGTGTGTGTGTGTGTGTGTGTGTGTGTGTGTGTGTGTGTGTGTGTGTGTGTGTGTGTGTGTGTGTGTGTGTGAGTGCGTGTAACCGCCTACCCAAATACTGGAAATCGGAACAGTAAACAAGTCATTATATATTTAAATAGTGTGTGATCTGTGAACCTTCGCCAGGAAATGTTCTGGAATTATACAGAACTGCCAGAAAGTTTACATTTAAAGATTGCAGGACACAGTAAATTACATATTTTACATTCACAAATAAACAAAATTTCTTCTTTCTTACAACATACAAAAAATACAGACATCTCTTTTTGGATCGCTATTTTGTAAGGGACACCATCTATATTATATGAGCATATGAGAATATTTAAATCAGTCACCCTTTATGCCACCTTATTGATAAGACTAAAGAACATATTTCATTTTAAAGTAAGTTACAGGGCTTTCCCTGCCTTTCTGATGGGCTTCTTTTTACTAAACTATCTAATATGCATATCCACATATTACATGGATTTGTATAATTACAATATTAAAAAATACACACACTGTATTTTAAAAGAAAATACATTAAGAAACAGATTATAGTAATTTATATTTCAAAAATGACAAAAATGCTCATTTAACAGCAGCAAAATTATTATAGCTCGACAGTTTAAATATTTACTTGGCTTTCTTTCTTACAAAGAGTGGATAGTCAAACAAATTGAATCATCATGAATGCATTATTTTATATTTATTGCTTAATTTCTTTTGTCTTTTTTATTATAGCACTTGGAATAAATAATAAAGGAAGGTTTCTGGATCAGCACCATGATGCTGATCGCTATGCACAGAAGTCAGGAGAGAGGCATAACAGTGAGTATCACCTGTAACACATTGGGTGGCTGTAGCTCAGATGGCAGAGCAGGTCAGCCACTAATCAGACGGTCGGTGGTTCGATCCCAGGCTGCATGTCAAATATCCTTGGGCAAGATACTAACCCCATGTTGCCTACTGGTGGTGGTCAGAGGGTCCGGTGGCGCCAGTGTCCAGCAGCCTCGCCTCTGTCAGTGCGCCCCAGGGCAGCTGTGGCTACAATACAGCTTGCCAGTGTGTGGGTGAATGACTGAATGTAGTGTAAAGCGCTATACAAATTCAGGCCATTTTACCATTTTTTTTTTACATGGTGGAGGCTGTGTCATCACACAGAGTAAAACAGAAACTCCTTTAAGAAGTACCACCATGTTCATCGGGAAAGGTCAACACTGCACCAGGAAGGTACATCAGCTATCACATTATCTACACCACTCGTATGTATGCTGTCTAGATTGTATTCTTGCAGAAAGAGTGGTCTTTTTTTTAGCTAGAAAGTTGTGTTTTGTTTGTTGTTTTGGCTTCAGAGACTCTGACGCTTCCCTGTGTTTTATTTTTGTCCTAATTGGTTGGTTTGCCTTAATCTTAAAATAAATGGCGTTTTACTGACGTTAACTATGCGGTGATTAATAGGGTTTTTTTTCACTTTGTGTTACACCCCATCCCAGATTACACCTTTGCATTAGTGGTGTTGAAAATCTTGGAATTATGAATACAGAATAGTATTTCTTATCAGTGTCTGATTTTGATCACCTGGAAATAATCTGATTAGCTTTTTTTTTTTTTGCAAGGGATTCAGTAAGAAATTATATAATATACATAACAATTCTGTGTCTTCTGAAGTGAAAAGTGTACCTTACCTTAGATATTTCCTGTCGGCTGAGGTTTTTCACTTCAGTCAGCATTTCAGTGCATTTTTTATGCAGCTACGCACGCACTTCACAATTTTTCAGTTAAGTAACCAAAACTGACTGACTATGAAACTTTAAAATGAATGTATTCATATGGCAATACCGGAACACTGAGCTGTCTGTGTTTGTGTGTGTGTGTGTGTGAGACTGATGAGCTTGCTGACAGACGTGTGGCACTGTTTGCAGCACAAACACTGAGCCCAGTGACAGAGAGGTAATGAAGCTGAGCCCATCTGTCTGCTCAATTGATGCTGCAAGTCTGAACATGCTCTCTACCAACATTGGAACCGAGCCTTACAGTCTCCAGAGTCTCACAGCCCGCCTCTCGACCCCTCTTCTCTACCAGTGCTCCAGAGTCTTGTTCCTAAAGCCACAGGTCAGGGCCCAGCGAGCCTTTGGTTTTGAGATCCCACGAGACAGCAATAGTAGAATATGTTTTATAGGCAGAAGGTACAAATACAGTGAGTTTCCCTTAATGTCTAAAAATAGATTTTTTTTCCTCTCTTTTTTTTAGTTAGTGGGAATTTTCTGGGTTTTTAACCAGAATCCTATTTTGGTATGATAATTCTGGCCAGCAGTCTTTTCTCTTGTATTGCTGTTTATTACACTATACTATTGTTTCATGTGTTTTAGACATTGGTATCTACTCCAAAACTGCAGTTGTTTGTGTTTTACGCATTCCTTTGTAAAAAGTCCGAAAATATGTTATATGACCTTTGGACTCAATTTTTCTTTATGACCTCGTTCCAAAAATATCAATATTTTCCATAGTTTAAGTAATCATAGAAAGGCTTGATGCAGACCCAAACAATATTAAGCAAACTTTCTCGATTGGGGGGGGAATTTTTTGATTTATACTAACTCTGTATCCTCCTGAGAACCAGACTATTCATTTATGTCCTGTGTAATGGACATTTGTTCTTATTTTAGCTACCCTAAATCCTGATGTGCTAAATGGAGGACATCCTGAGCTTTCCATTAATATCTCATGTGTTTGGGTGGCCTCTTTTATCTCAGAAGAGGCAGGAAATCACAAAAAAGTTAAATGGGAAGATTCTTTTTTTCCTCTGTGTGTATTCTAGACGCGAATCAATTAATACACCTGACTTTTCATTCTAAAAGATCTACAACTAACACTAAGAACACAAGAGTGGAAAAAAGTCTGATTATGTGCAGACACTTCTTTAAGACATGCCTATAGTTTAACTAGTTGATGTATATCATCTGGTTTCATGGATAAATAAAGCTGAGTGTCGTCTACATAGCAATTAAAATGTATCCAGTGTTTGGTAATAATACTGTCCAAGGTATTGATCCTAGCATGGATGCCTGTAGGCCTCTGATTAACCTTTGTCTGCAGGGAAGACTCCCCATTTACATGCACAAATTCAAGTATATTAAGTAGATATGCTTCCAGTTATTGTAGAGCAATGCCTTTAACAACAATGATGTTTACTAATATCTGTAATAAAATCAGTGCTAAGGCAGCACGGTGGCACGGTGGTTAGCACTGTTGCCGCACAGCAAGAAGGTCCTGAGTTCAATTGACGTCTGTGGGAGTAGCGTTGAGTTAGCTGTTCTGCATTTTGTTGGCACATGACATTGAGAAATCACTTTCTTAAACCTGGTTACAGCACTTCCAGAAATACATCTTGTTCTGACCACCACAAGAGAAAGACCCAAATCCAGATGCCAATGTGCAAATAGCGATCAGATTCACAATTCTTTATTCTACACACTATTTTAAACAAAGAATACCACACAATTTTGTGTGGGAAATCACTGGGGTGGCATTTGGCTAATCACAGTTTTTACAAAGCAGTGTGGGGAACACTGGGGCTACAGGTGAACACAGGTGACTGGCTTGTCACAGTGCTGGGGCAGAGAGTCACTGAAGCAGTGGGTTTGTACCACAGGAGAATTTCATTGATAATGACCATGAAGAAAAGAATTTGTAACTGCTGGACCAAATTTAGCAGGAACAATCACTGATCCTGGGAAAGCAGAGGAAAGACTGGATACCTCAATAGACAGAAATCCTTATTTAGTGTTCCTCACAGCTGTTGATGAAAATAGAAGCTTTTGAAATTGTTAAACAAAAAATAAATGTAAAAGTGAGAAATCCTTGGATTGTAAAGATGTTGATATGATAGTGGTTAAAAACATCATTGAGGCTATTTAAAACCATTTACATACATCTATAATCCATATCATTTCAAACTGTTCTATTTCCAGACAAAATGAAAATAGCAAACGTTGTACCTCCATACAAGTCTGGCAACAAACACCAACAAACTACAGGCCTGCTTCTTTGCGACCTCAGTTCTCAAAAATTCTTGAAAAACTGTTTAAGAACCGACTGGAAAAATGTACAGATAAACATAAACCACTCACAGAGAGTCAGTACGGGTTCATATCAAGCAGATCAACATCACTGGCACTACTAGATTCAATACGATATATCACAAATTCCATAGACAAGCATATCACGGGAAAACATAGCTGCCCCAGAGATACGGCCTCCGCTCACTCGGATCATGACACTAGTATAATATCTAAAATTCAGTTATCAGTCAGAGAGTCTGAAAACAAGGAAAAATGTATTTTCATGGAAACTAACTGTAGATAAGGCAAACCTGTCCTCTGAGATCACAGGAGTGCATTCAGGCGAAGAGGTTATTTGTGGTAAATTGATTCCCAAGAACTACAGTGATGTGTAGGATGAGTCAGTATGTGTAGGTGTTGGTGTGTTTAATCTCTTCAGTATTAATTCCAACTGTCATGTACAACAGGCCCAAAAAGCTCAATACCAAGCTGTACGTGATACTAAATGACAACACATTAAAACCTTATGTGGTTTCCAACAGAACAGATTCATCATGTTTTCCCGGTTTTCTGGACTGGGGAATTTTTGCAACAATGGAAACTTGGATGCAGATGGGACAGACTTTTTGGAGCGCTATTAAAAGAATATTTTGATTCATGTGGTATCTGTTTTGTTTCTTTTGCCGCAGGAGACTTATAAGCAGATACGCTATGTTTAAGGACCTGGCACTGGGACAAAATCTAGCCCTGTAGTTCATTTGGATCCAGATCTGAATGCTAATTTTGCTTTACTCAGTAAAATATGTCTGTGAAGGTTCTC